TATTCACCCCAATGATAGTATGATGGCTTCTTAGGAAATATTCCAAGTACAAATATTGTGTGTCTATTATTACGCGCCCTTCGTAAATCACCAAACGAGACAATTGTATGCTATTGCAAGGCAAGTCGTGCAAAGCACATAAACATCCAACAGTAGAAAGCTAGAGAGGCTATTTATTATATAGTGAAAGACTGATTTTCTGAAGTTGAGAAAAGTAAAAATATCACTTGATATTTCACTGAACTTGTCTCCTTTGTCTCATCCAATATTTTACTTCTAACCTCATATGACACCATACACATCAACTAAAGACACCATAAGTAATAGTAGCTGTACCCGCCCTCACCACCATGTATCTGTACCCGCACATCTCACACCATCATGTATCTGTACCCTCCCACCCCTCACCACCATGTATCTGTACCCACCCACCCACCCACCCACCCACCCCTCACCACCATGTATCTGTACCCACCCATCCCTCACCACCATGTATCTGTACCCACCCACCCCTAAACCACCATGTATCTGTACCCACCCCTCCCTCACCACCATGTATCTGTACCCGCCCATCCCTAAACCACCATGTATCTGTACCCGCACACCACTCACATGGCTGATGTCTACTTCAGGTGTGCCTTAACTCTACTTCCGGTGTGTCTGATGTACGCGTCCGTTGTGTCCACTTCCGGTGTGCCTGAAGTCTACTTCAACCGGTGCCTGAAGTCCATTTCCGTGGTTTCCACTTCCGGTGCACCTAAGCACCACTTCCGGTGTTTCTGAAGTTCACTTCCGGTGTTTTCAATTCCGGTGTATCGCAATCCACTTCCGGTGTTCCCGAAGTTCAATTCCAGTGTTCCTGATTTGTATTTCCGGTGTGCCCGCAATCCACTTCCAGTGACTCCACAATCCACTTCCGGTGATTCTACAATCCACTTCCGGCGTTCCTGATTTGTACTTCCGGTGAGTCTACAATCCACTTCCGGTGTATCTGCAATCCACTTCCGGTGAGCCTTCAATCCACTTCCGATGAGCCTGCAATCCACTTCCACGTTCCTGATTTGTACTTCCGGTGTGCCCGCAATCCACTTCCGGTGAGCCTGCAATCCACTACCGGCGTTCCTGATTTGTACTTCCGGTGAACCTGCAATCCACTTCCGGCGTTCCTGATTTGTACCTCCGGTGAGCCTACAATCCACTTTCGGCGTTTCTGATTTGTACCTCCGGTGAGCCTGCAATCCACTTTCGGCGTTTCTGATTTGTACCTCCGGTGAGCCTGCAATCCACTTTCGGCGTTTCTGATTTGCACCTCCGGTGAGCCTGCAATCCACTTTCGGTGAGCCTGCAATCTACTTCCGGTGAGCCTGCAATCCACTTCCGGTGAGCCTACAATCCACTTCCGGTGAGCCTGCAATCCACTTTCGGCGTTTCTGATTTGTACCTCCGGTGAGCCTACGCCTACAATCCACTTCCGGTGAGCCTGCAATCTACTTCCGGTGAGCCTACAATCCACTTCCGGTGAGCCTACAATCCACTTCCGGTGAGCCTGCAATCCACTTTCGGCGTTTCTGATTTGTACCTCCGGTGAGCCTGCAATCCACTTCCGGTGAGCCTGCAATCCACTTTCGGCGTTTCTGATTTGTACCTCCGGTGAGCCTGCAATCCACTTTCGGCGTTTCTGATTTGTACCTCCGGTGAGCCTGCAATCCACTTCCGGTGAGCCTGCAATCTACTTCCAGCGAGCCTGCAATCCACTTCCGGTGAACCTGCAATCTACTTCCGGTGAGCCTACAATCCACTTCCGGTGAACCTGCAATCCACTTCCGGCGTTCCTGATTTGTACTTCCGGTGAGCCAACAATCCACTTTCGGCGTTTCTGATTTGTACCTCCGGTGAGCCTGCAATCCACTTTCGGCGTTTCTGATTTGTACCTCCGGTGAGCCTGCAATCCACTTTCGGCGTTTCTGATTTGCACCTCCGGTGAGCCTGCAATCCACTTTCGGTGAGCCTGCAATCTACTTCCGGTGAGCCTGCAATCCACTTCCGGTGAGCCTACAATCCACTTCCGGTGAGCCTGCAATCCACTTTCGGCGTTTCTGATTTGTACCTCCGGTGAGCCTACGCCTACAATCCACTTCCGGTGAGCCTGCAATCTACTTCCGGTGAGCCTACAATCCACTTCCGGTGAGCCTACAATCCACTTCCGGTGAGCCTGCAATCCACTTTCGGCGTTTCTGATTTGTACCTCCGGTGAGCCTGCAATCCACTTCCGGTGAGCCTGCAATCCACTTTCGGCGTTTCTGATTTGTACCTCCGGTGAGCCTGCAATCCACTTTCGGCGTTTCTGATTTGTACCTCCGGTGAGCCTGCAATCCACTTCCGGTGAGCCTGCAATCTACTTCCAGCGAGCCTGCAATCCACTTCCGGTGAACCTGCAATCTACTTCCGGTGAGCCTACAATCCACTTCCGGTGAACCTGCAATCCACTTCCGGCGTTCCTGATTTGTACTTCCGGTGAGCCAACAATCCACTTTCGGCGTTTCTGATTTGTACCTCCGGTGAGCCTGCAATCCACTTCCGGTGAGCCTGCAATCTACTTCCGGTGAGCCTGCAATCCACTTCCGGTGCGCCTGCAATCCACTTCCGGCGAGCCTGCAAACCACTTCCGGTGCGCCTGCAATCCACTTCCGGCGAGCCTGCAATCCACTTTCGGCGTTTCTGATTTGTACCTCCGGTGAGCCTGCAATCCACTTTCGGCGTTTCTTTGTACCTCCGGTGAGCCTACGTCTACGCCTACAATCCACTTCCGGTGAGCCTGCAATCTACTTCCGGTGAGCCTACAATCCACTTCCGGTGAGCCTGCAATCGACTTTCGGCGTTTCTGATTTGTACCTCTGGTGAGCCTGCAATCCACTTTCGGCGTTTCTTTGTACCTCCGGTGAGCCTACGTCTACGCCTACAATCCACTTCCGGTGAGCCTGCAATCTACTTCCGGTGAGCCTACAATCCACTTCCGGTGAGCCTGCAATCTGCTTCCGGTCATGTCATGCCATGCCAACATTGTGCAACATTGTGCAACATTGTTGCAATCCAGAGCACAAAACAGCCGAAGACCCGGGTTCGATTCCCGACATGGGTACAATGTGTGAAGCCCATTTCGGGTGTCCCCTGCGGTGATATTGCTGGAATATTGTTAAAAGCGGCGTAAAACCATACTCACTCACTCACTCACTCACTCACTCACTCACTCACTCGCTCGCTCACTCACTCGCTCACTCACTCACTCACTCATTCACTCACTCACTCACATACTCTGACCTGATACAGTAAGAGTTTTAGTCACCTCTTCCATTAATATAAGTCAAATACTGAGAAAGACTGCGCAACGTGTTTCAATGTGACATTCTGAGAAAAATGGGTCTTGAATCAGTCATGCAACATTAATACAATCCACAAACCATCGCTTCTCTTACTTATTGCACAGGCACAGAACATAGGAACACTTTATTACTCATCTGTCAAGACTTTCATAGTTATTCCAACATAATGTTTGTATCAACATGACTAATGACACGCAATTAATAAGTTATAGTTCAAAAAGTGCGCTGAGAAATGGTAAGATCTATATAAATATAACGTATACTATTCCACAAATATTATTCATACCCAACGAATAGTGTTGTTCTTTCTGTTTTCGAATGAATAAATAGTGTCTGTCTTTGTGGTTAAGGCTTTTCTTGCGCATTTACAAAACTGGAGATATCATGCAACGTGCAACGTACGTATATGCTATTCGATTTTAGGCCCCAGGAACGAAACCCGCACTGGTGGTTAACGGGGGGGATGTTGCGGGCTTATCACCTGCAAATAAATTAGCCCATGGCCAGACAAACGATGCTGTACATCCATAAGCTAGAACGGTTTAGTTCACAGCGCTAATGTGGCCACCAGTAATCTTATCAATCTCGCGCTATATCCGAACATTTATTAATAGAAAGGGGGTTTTCCAGACAAGTCGCAACCGTCTGGAAATCCACTTTCGGCTACTTTGGGGTCCTTTCGGAAGTGCTCATGCCTCCAGTTTCGGTCCGCAGCATCCTGACACGGCTCGTTTTGGCCCAGGGGCACCCTCAGAGGCTGCAAACCCCCTTTCTAGAAGGAACTCTTTTTCTAAGAACTACTTACATGCTACATGAACCCCACACTCAACTCTCACCCTTCAACCCCCGCCAATCCAATCGCTCTCTTTTCGTCGGCCGACGAATCGCTTTTCTCCCTTTCCCTTCTTTTGACTCCATTACCCGGGCCCCGCTTTACCCCGCTTCTTCCCCGCTTTTAACGCGCTTTTAACCCGCTTTCGCCCACTATTCCCGCTTCTCTTTCAAACGTTAGCGCAATGTACCAACAAATAGCATCAATTAACTTGTCTTGTCTTTCATTTCATTTCGTCACATTTTCTCAGAAACTTTCACTATAATTTAAACATTTTTTAAAGTCTTCGTTTTACCACTAGTTACGGCTTCGCTTACAAACACAATATTGACAATTAACTTCTCTTGTCTTTCATTTCATCACATTTTTGCAGAACATTTCACTACACATTTCAAAATATATATTACAATTTTAATGTCTTCATTTCACTTCCTTCTTCTCTTCTTGCCATTTCCTCTTCTTGCCCTTCCAATGCAGTTTTAACTCTCTTTCACGCAGTCACCATTTATTTTACATCTTAATTGCTTTACCTCCACGGCTTTCTGTTGTCTGTAAAACAAATCATTCCATCATTATACTTTATTTTTCAAATATAGAAAATCGTTTTTATTTAGTTCCACTTTTTTTTCTACTTCTTTCCACTTTTCGCACAAATCCACCACGTCACTACACCGGCTACACCCCGAGCACCGACGGCCCAAAAACGCAGTTTAGCAAGACGGTACCAAGCCACTCAAAGGCCACCGGCTGCACCCAGAGCATCTGGGCATTGCACCGACCGCCAAAAAACGCAGTTTAGACAGCCGGCACCAAGCCACCCGGAAGGAAGCGGCAAAGCACCAATCACAAGCGAGATTACGAATGCCAAGGCCGTCATTTCCGCAATCTCTGGCCATGGCGGCGGGCGCACCTGACTTCTCGCTGGCTGGCATTACCACACCCAAGCGTGCTCGCTCCGTCGAGTCGCATCTCCATCGACGGACAGGACGATTATGCACATGCATCTGAAGGTAAGTTCATTCATATATTTCACTCCACGTCTTTTATTTCTCGCACAGAGCGGCCAATTCTGATTCTGTCCAACAGGGACGAAGCATGTTCCAAACCTTGTCCTCCCTCGGCCGTTTGCAACTTCTTCTTTCATCACAGAAAATGTCGCCTGTTTTTGCCGCTCTCTGGTGCACGTTGCAAGTGTTTTCGTGGCGAAGAAGCAGGCAGCGCGCTTTCTGTATTCTTGTATGTATGATAAATGCGTACCGTCACGTCCTGGCCACGCCCTATAACAGAGTATAAGGCTACCGTATTTCATCCGACAGAAGAACTGCAATTTATTAGCATTAATCAACTTCATCACGTCCCTCAGTGTAAACAAACCTAAGTATTCAACTACCATATTTCCTTCAAAAAACACATCCCTTTATCATGAGTATGCATTCATTATTCTCCATTCATTGATCAAGTTCTTTGTCTATATTCCATTTGCTGCTGCTGTACAGGCCTGCCGAACCAATGTCATTCGATCCCAGCACTCTCCCTCCTGGCACTCTCCTTCCTGGCTCCCCCTCCCAATCCTGTCTCGCTGCATAAAATGCGAAGGAGAACGTTAATTGTATCATCTGTTAGTACATCTGGCGTTTTTCTTTTTCTGAAAACCTTATCTTAAAGTAAATAATGTTGTTGACATTCTTTGTGTTACCACTTCAGTGTATCTATGGCAACAGTTCTGTAATTATTCCAGTATCATGAACCAGGAAAAGTGACATATCTATTGACACCTTAATGCCTAGATTTCCGAGAAGTTGAGTTTTTGTTGGTTTCCATGGTATCAGAGCGTTAACATTTGTGGAGTAAAATTATTGTTTATCTTGTTTTGACTGTGAATCACTTGTGCTCATTGTGTTGGACATTGTTGCAGATCCTCTCCAAGATGGCTCCGTGGCCACCGACACAATCTCCTGACACAACTTACCACAGCCCTGATATTTTCTTCTTTGTGGAAGATTGTGAAAGGTAGGTGATTTTATACCTTGGTCTCATTATTCTCAATAATATTTGTCATGTGGTGTCCTGTATTTGCGGTATCAAGCTCCCCGCTCCTATAACAGCAAGGATTTATCTACAATTGCAAACAAGGTGCCCTTGGCAGGCAAACTGGGGAGATGTTGTTCAAACTTTGGAATGTAAAATTTCTGAGGAATCGGGAAATTCAGATTTCAAATTGGGAATTTGTACAATCATTTGCTGCGGACTTGGGGCTGAATATGGGCCTCTGAGCAAGTCCATATAATCCCCAAATAGATTACAGCAATGGTGAAGGAGTAACTCATCGATGCACTTTACTGGGACCAGCTGATTTAGCACTAATTGGCTCAGACTGTCGATTGTGGCTCTCAGTTAACAGGTCTGTGTTCCAAAGCAATCCTTAGCGCAAGTTGTGTTTGTGTTAACATAGGTTAACCACAACTCTCTATTTAGCCCTTTCCGATCAAGCACCCTTTAACGATCATTAGGGTTAGGTTCCCCTTTCCGATCAAGCACTCCTTTACGATCATTAGGGTTAGGTACCCCTTTCCGATCAAGCACCCCTTTACGATCATTAGGGTTAGGTACCCCTTTCCGATCAAGCACCCCTTTACGATCATTAGGGTTAGGTACCCCTTTCCGATCAAGCACCCCTTTACGATCATTAGGGTTAGGTACCCCTTTCCGATCAAGCACCCCTATACGATCCTTAGGGTTAGGTATGTTGTAGGGCATGGGTTAGCTATCTCTTAAAGTTGATCCAAAGTCATTTATGTAAAATCCACATAATGTTTTTTGAAGGTTTGAGCATGGCTATGTCTCGGACAACAAATGTAACTTGTAATCTCCCGGGTTCTTACATTTAGTCCTATGTTTATGTTTTTTCTTTGAATTGTCTTGTAACCATGGCAACATATGATGCAACTGCCTTGGTGATGCTGGAATATTGCTCCAACTTTCATTCACTCACACACATGCTTAAAAGACTGGGAGAGTGGAAGGTCGGTGGTTCAATCCCCTGGTGGCCCGTCTCATACCGAATGATGGTAAAGGATGGTACTTGGTGTTAGGATGAGGGTTGGGGTTAGGGAAACCTCAACGATGGTTTATGTAGCTGTGTTATCTTGGTTACATACCGAGGTCCAGTTCACCAAGAAGTTGTTACTGGAATTCTGTTCAAAGCGGCATTAACACTCACTCACTCACTCACTCACTCACTCACTCACTCACTCACTCACTCACTCACTCACTCACTCACTCACTCACTCACTCACTCACTCATCCTATACTTATCTCATTCTCAGCCTATATCCCCTGATGTAAACTGGATTTCTGTTAAAAAAATGAATGCCAGATTTACTACCTCATTGAACTCAACTGCACTCCTTCATGGGATATGGGACAAACAGCATGAATGTCCAGTTTATGATGTTATTTCAGTACAATTTGACATAAAAATGATGACATGAAAGTGTGTTTAGATCTTTTGTTTGAAGTGCCTTGTGATGTATCATACAAAGGAATCCATAGAATCTCATCATTTTTCAGGAGAAATCTACATATGGCAAAGCTTTATAGACTTGCTTGGGATCTTTTCCATATTTTTGTTTCAGTGCAGTGTCTTATGAGAGACTAACCCTCTTACACATGGGAAAGTAGGAGTGGGTCTTTGCTCCTTGAAACTGTTTCAGTATTACATGTCCGTATACCATGTATACCATGTGTATATTGCTATATCAACCCATTGCTGTTGGGGTTAACATAGCCTTGCTCCAAGTCTGTACTGAATGATAAGTCCGTGTATGTATAATCATTGTTTACTTTTGATAGGCAAGTCTAGATAAGCGTACAGTACTCTTAGGACCAACTTGTTCTGATTATTTTTATAATCTAGGAATTATCATTTAGACTAATAATCATTTCCTTGTAGACTTGTGCAAGTCAGTGTTGTCAGTATGTATACACGGGTGATAACACCGTACATCCTGTGATTAACTGACTGGCACATAAAGAGTCCTGTTTATTTCTTGACCTTTGGAGTATTTTCAAGTACTTTTGCCATCTTATGCCAAACACAACACATTTTGTGCCTCATATACATGATGTGTGTTCTGATACTTTCATCGTGGTTTCTTTGAGGCCTGTGTGTATAGTATGCTCTCTCTCTCTCTCTCTCTCTCTCTATGAACTGTTGCACCACGAGTCGTAACTCTGTCAACTTATATCATTTAAGCCACTTAACTCATGAATTTCTTGAGGAGACTGGAGACACTCGACTTATTGCCACAAAAACTTGACTATGAACACCAGTATGTTTTCATTCTAATATTATACCATACAAAATACTTTGGACTAGTCCACAATTAATGTAAGGGGTGCATTTTATATCATGTAGGCAAAGTAGGCAATGATAACAGCTTTACTGTAGGTGATTGGCACTGTAGGCTAAATGCTCTGTAGGCTTTACTGTAGGTGATCGGCACTGTAGGCTAAATGCTCTGTAGGCGAATAGAGATGGAGTCTTGTACAGTCATGGTAGCCGTCACTGTAGCCGTCACTGTAGCAGTCACTGTAGCAGTCACTGTAGCTATCACTGTAGCAGTCAATGTAGCAGTCACTGTAGCTATCACTGTAACAGTCAATGTAGCCGTCACTGTAGCAGTCAATGTAGCCGTCACTGTAGCAGTCACTGTAGCTATCACTGTAGCAGTCACTGTAGCTGTAGTATTGCAAAAGACCACAGCTGTGAGATGCTATTTAAATATTGGTCCAACTGACTTGCTTGAGAATATCTGTGCCATCTTTCAATGTCCATTTCCTCATGACTCAACACAAATCCTGACATGTCTGCACCGTCCCTTGTTCAGCCGGTGGCTCTGGAAGTAGTTGAGGGAGATGCCGCATATCATTATGTTTTCATCTCCCGCCCCAACGAGGATGGCGGGGAATATAGAGACGGGCTCCGTCCGTCACGTTTCGTTTGTGGAGCAGAACTTGGAATATTTTACAAGATTTGGTACACACAGTCACCACATGGTGTAAATGTGGCTTTTGCTATTGAGGTTTCCCCTGCATTTTAAATATATTTTATATAATTTTTTTTAATTTGGACGTGGTCTCTGAACTGAATAGAAGCAGTGAGTTTCATTTCCGGAGCAGAACTTGAAAATTATTTCAGAGATATCTTTAAGAAACTTTGTAAACACCTTCACCATATGGTGTAGATGTGCCTTTAGCTATTAATGATTCCCCCAATTATTTTATAAATTTAGACTTGAATTGAATGTTGGCAATCTTCACAATTTTACCACAGGTCTTCTTGTAACTCTCAATGAAACTTTGAACAATATCAGTCTCCGACTGTTACAGAGACTTTGTTCTTTAAAATTTTTGAAATTTTGCTTTATTTTCTTATTTCGATTAAATGCGACACCAGTAGACACTGCAACAAACGAAGCTATGAAAGTATTCATGATATACCGGGGGTATTAGAAATTCACCAGGTTTTGAGGGGTCAGCATGCTCTCAACTTTTGTACCTTATCTGTACCGTGTACCGTACTGTGGTAACTACCCGTAAAGGGTGGGGCTGCAACAATACCTGCCTGTATGACAATGCATTTCAATACAAGTGTCAATGCGAGTGAATTGTGCAATGCTCAACATGCTCAAGGATACAAAATCTTCTTAGCCTTCACGTAATGGAAGATGATTGTATCGTATCGGCACATGAAAAGTCACGATGCACCGGTGCGCCGATGGATCATTTCACCTCTTTAGCCTAGTGCCCTCTAGCCTGTGTGTTTCATATTGTTACCCTGTCTGGCGCTCGGCATTAAGGGGCTAAAACAAGGACTGGTCGGCTCGGAGTCAGTATACTGTGCATGAGTGGGGTATTCATGTTAAACTGTGGCATGGTATCTCAGTGAGCTAGCACTATAAATCGGCATCAGTCCGGACTAGTACAAGCAGCCACACAAGTGCACACAAACACACACACATACATGCACGTCGCATTATAAGTGCAATAATCTTGGACGCGACGTTAAACCCAATTTCACCTCACCTCGCCTCACCCGTGTGTTTCTGCCCAACAATATCCCATCTGCATCCCATCTTCATCCCAAATTCAGCTGCAAAAAGAAACAATATCATCTTATGTAATAAAAAGTACTGTATCAGGATATGAATCGTATCGCACCAGTAGTATCGGGATGCATATCGCGAACCTGCTGTATCGTAACGACTCTAACATTGAAGGCTGCCTATAATCCTACTCGCTGTCGGTTGATTGGCTGAATGTTCAGGACCTTAATTGCAGAAAACAAAATAGTAGCTATAAAATATGTATATCAACGAACATTTGTAAAAGGGTATCCTGAAATCTATAGCATTGTAACCATTAACTTAAAACTGTCACGGACATGTGACTTGATATCTCAAATGGTCAGATAAGCTAAATTGATGGAAATGTCATGGTATAATTGTCAAGATAATGTTTTGATTATTGTGCTAGTGAATCTGATTATTATGGTCAATATAGTCAATAAAATTGGCTTCTTTAATAGAGTAAGTCAGGTAATCTGAACGGTGTGAATCGTTTGTTGTTTGTAGGAGATATTACAGCATAAACTCACAGACTACAACCATTGAGAGATAAAGAGAACATTAGTAATAACTAATCATATACAAACTGTCGAACAGTAAATTATTACCAGGTGATTTCTCCGGCACACTGGCTATATTGACTATCAACATTGATCTCGTGTCACGCATGGCACTTAACAGTTGGACATTCTGACACATCTAAGTGTCCACAATCAATGGCAGCAGCTCACTGACACAGGCTCCTTGAAGACAACAATACATTGTGTACTTTGATATGATGGGACGTCATGTTAGGGACGTCATGTCAGGGACGTCATGTCAGGAACATCATGTTAAGGACATCATGTTGGAGACGTCATGTTAAGGACGTCATGTCAGGAACATCATGTTAAGGACGTCATGTCAGGGACGTCATGTTAAGGACATCATGTTAGGGACGTCATGTCAAGGACGTCATGTTAAGGACATCATGTTAGGGACAACCTATGATGGACACCCTTTAAATGACACCCTTTAAATGCTAACATCACTTTGTGAGACGGGACCCTTACAAAAAACAAATCTTTAATGCGAAGGTATATTAACATTTTATTTATTGCAATAATTGCTTTTAAATATCAGTATTGGTCCTGTTATTAATGAAGTAGTGAAGTACAGGTAACCTTTGCAATAATAATAATAATTATAATAATAATGAAAATCCAAAATAAAATGAATGATACTAATTTTAGTTGTTGAATTTGAAACTATATTTCAGGAAGTAGAATGTCTTTTGGTTGTAATGTTCGCTACTGTTATTCTACTATCATGCCCTGCAGCAATAAATCTTGGACCCTTATGACGATCCTTACCTTATGGGTCGAACTTGAATTAAACCACAAATAGTTTGGTGAATAATAAGTGGCCTGTGTAATCAGCAATTTATAGCTGCGCTTTCAGTGTACATTAACAGCCAAGCAGGTGCTTGTTCATGTCATAGTGATGAAGACTGTTGTTGACACTATCAGTGTCATCACTCACTGATAATATCGGCAACCTGCAGACAGGAAGTGTGTCATTAGATTAAAATCGGGGCTTCTTTCAAGTCCACTTCTTATGGTTTGAGTGTGTTGCCTTGTGAAGTGCGCATTGGTGTACAACAACAGTGATGTTTGAACAATGCAGGTGATCGCCTTACCTTGCTCGGATGAGGTAATATGAGGTATTATGAAATAATTAATATCTAATTTGATGTGATAGCAGTTCATTGGCAATTGGGTGGTTGGCCTCGTGATTCAAGTGCTTGCCTGTCACAATGAAGATTTGGCTTAGATCCTCAATATAGACACAATGTGTGAAGCTCTTTCTGCTGTCGCGTCGCGTGATGTTGCTGGAATATTGCTGAAAGTGGTGTGAAAAGTCACTCATTCGAAATATTTGTATTTGAGTGTGTGAGTTTTATTTGATGCTCAAACAACAGCTTAGTTGTACCATAGCATGTCATATGATGCAATGGAAAAGGGATATTGCTGGAAAGGTTAAAAGAGCTAATTGTCAAGCAGAGGCCTACCAATGAAAACTGACAGACTGCAAGAAACAACTGTCATAAAGTTATGTCTACACACACAAGGAATCGGCAACAGAAAACGATTAGAACATATGACAGTGTTTTGTTGCAGTCTGTTTTGGTAGACCGGTTTTTGTCCTTGATGGTCTAACATGACAGGCTCCTAGTTTCCTTGATAGTCTAACATGACAGGCTCCCAGTTTCCATGATGGTCTAACATGACAAGCTCCCAGTTTCCTTGATGGTCTAACATGACAGGCTCCTTGTTTCCTTGGTCTAACATGACAGGCTCCTAGTTTCCTTGATGGTCTAACATGACAGGCTCCTTGTTTCCTTGATGGTCTAACATGACAGGCTCCCAGTTTCCTTGATGGTCTAACATGACAGGCTCCCAGTTTCCTTGATGGTCTAACATGACAGGCTCCCAGTTTCCTTGATGGTCTAACATGACAGGCTCCCAGTTTCCTTGATGGACTAACATGACAGACTCCTAGTTTCCTTGATGGTCTAACATGACAGGCTCCCAGTTTCCTTGATGGTCTAACATGACAGGCTCTTAGTTTCCTTGATGGTCTAACATGACAGGCTCCCAGTTTCCTTGATGGTCTAACATGACAGGCTCCCAGTTTCCTTGATGGACTAACATGACAGACTCCTAGTTTCCTTGATGGTCTAACATGACAGGCTCCCAGTTTCCTTGATGGTCTAACATGACAGGCTCATAGTTTCCTTGATGGTCTAACATGACAGGCTCCCAGTTTCCTTGATGGTCTAACATGACAGGCTCCCAGTTTCCTTGATGGTCTAACATGACAGGCTCCCAGTTTCCTTGATGGTCTAACATGACAGGCTCCTAGTTTCCTTGATGGTCTAACATGACAGGCTCCTAGTTTCCTTGATGGTCTAACATGACAGGCTCCCAGTTTCCTTGATGGTCTAACATGACAGGCTCCCAGTTTCCTTGATGGTCTAACATGACAAGCTCCCTGTTTCCTTGATGGTCTAACGTGACAGGCTCCCAGTTTCCTTGATGGTCTAACATGACAGGCTCCTTGTTTCCTTGATGGTCTAACATGACAGGCTCCCTGTTTCCTTGATGGTCTAACATGACAGGCTCCCAGTTTCCTTGATGGACTAACATGACAGGCTCCCAGTTTCCTTGATGGTCTAACATGACAGGCTCCCAGTTTCCTTGATGGTGGCTCCCAGTTTCCTTTATGGTCTAACATGACAGGCTCCTTGTTTCCTTGATGGTCTAACATGACAGGCCCCCAGTTTCCAAAGCGGGTTAGACCTTGTACATGTAGTTGAGATTTCTTTGGTGAGTTGAACAGAGTCTACTGTAACACAATATTTCCTTTCTTTGACCAGACAAAGATAATTCATCTTGCCTCAAGTCCTTCATCATCCATGCTTGTCACTGAAACCAGAGTTCTTACAGGTGTGAGTCACTATGCAGGCAACGGCAGGGGAAAAACATATTTCGAGACAGATCAGATAATTCTCACGTTGGATGTTTTTGAAATCCATCACTGCTCATGCAGATTATGTTCCGTTCATACTTGATACTTGCAGGTCTTACCTCAGCTATTTTTAGCATACAAGTATTTTCCATCAAGTCGTTCAATATCTCTATAATGGAACAGGTAATATATCAAGTCGGTGAAAGGCATTTAGAAGTGATACGCATAAGGGAGAGAACTTATGCATGTCATCTTCTTTATTATGAGGGGGGCCGTCGGGTAGCCCAGTGTTTAAAGCGTTCACTCGTCATGCCGAAGGCCTGGGTTCGATTCCCAAAATGGGTATAATGTGTGAAGCCCATTTCTGGTGTTCCCCGTCGTGATATTGCTGGAATATTGCTAAAAACGGCGTAAAATCATACTCAACTCGCTCATTATTATTATTATGCCTAAATTCTCTATCTTATGTACTTTATCCAGGTAGAGTGTGACATTGAGGGTGAGTGAGTGAGTGTGCAGAGAGAGAGAGAGAGAGAGAGACAGTTTGGGGATATTTTTATGTGGCTCTAATCACGCTCTCATTTTCTCTCTCGCTTTATTTTCTCGCAAAATACACAAATGCTAATTGATATCTTAGACATCATATCTTTGAAAATCAATACATTTGCATATTTTCCCACCAATTTAAAACATAATAGGGGTCAAGTGGTGGTAAATTCAGTTCTTACCCCAGTCTATATTTGTACTCAGAATTACCCAGCCACAGACAACCCTTTACAATCTGTTGCAGGAATGAATGCTGGGTAAATAGATGTGATCCTATTTGACAACAGTTCTTTCAATTTTGAATTACATAAAAAAAAAAATCGTGTTTTCTTTCTTTTGCCCCTCAGGTTATCAATATATTTGAAGAATTGTGAGGTTCAAATTGAAGAGGCTGTTACCATGGTTACTGTTCAACATACTTACATCAAACGTCATTCTGATTGTTATATCCTGCACCATGACTGGGGAATGTATTTATTTTATGAAAAAACCCCAGACAATCCAGATATGTATACAAAAGCAAGTCTAGCCAGCTCTAGCTAGCTCTGTTCCACAGCATCGGGAAAATTATCTGTTTAATTTTAGACTCAAGAAGGGTATTGTGTAATATAAGATTTCATAGACGAAATGTGAGTCTACGATTGTTACTGTTGTTGTCATTGATGTTGTTTTGTGTTGCAGAATTCCATACGTCACAATCTGTCGTTAAACAAGTGCTTCCTAAAAGTTCCAAGGTCGAAGGACGATCCAGGAAAGGTACGTTCATGTGAAAAGCGCCCCCATTTGCAACACTGAACAGCAACACACAGTGTCACGTGCACACAGGCTGGTAAAATTACTCATGTGCTTTGAACATGATGGAGAAAAGGACACACCCAGGAAGATAGCTAGGATTTAACACTAAGTGCTCCTGGCAGGCCAATTGGGAAAGAATGGTTGTTTTGTTCAAAATAGGGTTTTTGTGGGGAGTTCTTACTTTCAGAGGTTGCATTTTAACATTGCGTTCATCACAGTCATGTAAAATTATCCCTCTTTCTCTGTCTCCCACTGTTATCAGTGAAATGAATACAAGTTACTTCGACCAAACCGTTACATGAGTTGTAGCTATATTACACGAATTTAGATATTTTAACTCCACTTTGGGGATTTTTTACTGACAATGCTGCAGGCTAGGCTGTGGATGGAGTCTTGTACAGTCATGGTAGCTAGGCCGTGGATGGAGTCTTGTACAGTCATGGTAGCTAGGCTGTGGAGGGTGTCTTGTACGGTCATGGTAGCTAGGCTGTGGATGGAGTCTTTTACAGTCATGGTAGCTAGGCTGTGGAGGGTGTCTTGTACGGTCATGGTAGCTAGGCTGTGGATGGAGTCTTTTACAGTCATGGTAGCTAGGCCGTGGATGGAGTCTTGTACAGTCATGGTAGCTAGGCTGTGGAGGGTGTCTTGTACGGTCATGGTAGCTAGGCTGTGGATGGAGTCTTGTACAGTCATGGTAGCTAGGCTGTGGATGGAGTCTTTTACAGTCATGGTAGCTAGGCTGTGGAGGGTGTCTTGTACGGTCATGGTAGCTAGGCTGTGGATGGAGTCTTTTACAGTCATGGTAGCTAGGCCGTGGATGGAGTCTTGTACAGTCATGGTAGCTAGGCTGTGGAGGGTGTCTTGTACGGTCATGGTAGCTAGGCTGTGGATGGAGTCTTGTACAGTCATGGTAGCTAGGCTGTGGATGGAGTCTTGTACAGTCATGGTAGCTAGGCTGTGGAGGGTGTCTTGTACGGTCATGGTAGCTGGGCTGTGGATGGAGTCTTGTACAGTCATGGTAGCTAGGCTGTGGATGGAGTCTTTTACAGTCATGGTAGCTAGGCTGTGGATGGAGTCTTGTACAGTCATGGTAGCTAGGCTGTGGAGGGTGTCTTGTACAGTCATGGTAGCTAGGCTGTGGATGGAGTCTTGTACAGTCTTTGTAGCTAGGCTGTGGATGGAGTCTTGTACAGTCATGGTAGCCGGGCTGTGGATGGAGTCTTGTGCAGTCATGGGTCTTTCAGATTTATCATGGAGTGAGTAAGGTTTTTGAAGCAGCAATGTTCTGGCGATATTACAGCAAGATCACTGCAGGGGGACACCAGACATGGGTTTTCCATGTTTTCCAAATTCATGACTTCAACATTAGGGTCCCAACAGCAACCCCATTGATTTCTTTGCTTTCAGATTCCAGGGTAGAATAGGTCTTCAGCAACCCATACTTGCCGTAAAAGGTGACTATGCTTGTCATAAAAGGCGACTAACGGGATCGGGTGGTCAGGCTCGCTGACTTGGTTGAAGCATGTCATCGATCCCAGTTGTGTGGATAGATGCTCATGATATTAATCACTGGATTGTCTGGTCCAGACTTGATTATTTACAGACTGCCGTCATAAAGCTGGAATATTGCTGAGTGCGGCGTAAAACAAGAAACCAAATCAAAATCTTTGCTTTCATTTTCCTCCCACTGCAGTTGCCTGTGACTTGTGTAAGGTGTCTGTGGCTGTAAGGTAGACTGTTATGTTGTAATGGAAGCTACTAAATTCATCTTGAAGGGCTGGCTTATTATGTTTCAGCAAAAACCAAACTATCATCTTCTCTTGCTGAAGCGTTTCTCCTTTCATCCTTGATTCTATTGAGGTGGTATGGTTTGATCTGGGATAATTAAAAGAACATAAAATTCAGTAATGAATCAAAACTTAAGTCGACCAGTGCAAAAGGAAATTAAGCAGCCAAATATTCATTGAAGCAGAACATCGATAGTAAAGTTAAGCAATGAAATCTAAATGTTGGTATAAGTGAGGAGTGGAGTCAAGCAGTTTGAATTGATGTATAACGTCGAGAAAGTGGAGGTGAAAAAGCTAATCAGAATGTACGAATACCAAGTTAGTTATTTGCTCTTTTAATTGTGTTTCACAGTAAACCGTTCTCACTCCTCTCAAATTAAGCTGACACACCATGATATTGCTGTAGTTCTGTTCAACGTGGGGGGCACTGATGGCCCAGTTATCTAAGGCGCTGCGATTCGCTGTGCAGAGTTGAGTCCCTTGGACACGCCAGAAACCTATGATTGTGGGTTCGAATCCGGGTTCGCCCCGATTATGTTTCTAGGTTTGTCAGCACCATACCCATGCTTGTTGGTTTCACTGAAGTGGTAAACGTCTGAGACCTGCATCACTTTGGGCTTTCCTCCCACATTAAGCTGACACACCACAATATAACTGGAATACTGTTAAAAACGGCGTTATACCCAACTCACTGTTCAACGTGTCATGAAGCCCACCTCACTCACAAGCCCTAGCTACTCCAACTGTCACCAGGCATGGTTTGTTAGTGCCAAGTCAATGTGTTTTGGGTGCCAGGATAGCCAAGTGGTTAAGGTGTTAGCTCATCATGCCAGCCACCTGGGTTTGATCCCCCACATAGGCACCATGTGTGAAGCCCATTTCTTGTGTCCCCCGCCGTGATATGGCTGGAATATTGCTAAAAGCGGCGTAAAACCAAACTCACTCACTCACTCCCAAATCCATACTGTCACAACTAGAGTGATGGAGGCTATGACTGGCAGACTAACATGCTACCGGACTGCCAGTGTGTCTGGCCCAGACACAGCTGTTCACAGGTGGCCTATGATAGCAGTGATGGAGTGACATGTGATATACTAATAATTATGATGAGGTACAATGTATAAACGTATACTATCATGCATTGTCTATTGTGTTCAGATTGAATGTTTTTCTTTGTTGTTTAACGCTCAGCAATATTCCAGCTATATGGCGGACCAGACAACCCAGTGATTGACATCATGAGCATCGATCTAGGCAAATGTGATAGATAACATGCATCAATTAAGTTAGCGAGTCAAACCACCGGATCCCGTTAGTCGTCTCTTACGACAAGCATGGGTTGCTGAAAATAATTCTCTAGTCTGACCACCGGATCCCGTAAGTCGCCTCTTATGAAGACCAATTCTTACCCGGGTCTTCACGGATCTTAGATGTTATGTGATATTGTATAGATTTGTTTCTCCTGAACAAGTGCACAAGTACTGGTGTGTAACGTGTGTAGTGTTGGTCATAAGGCCTCCGGTACCAAACACTTGTCTATCTCCATGGTCCTTACCGCCGCCGGGGTCTAGTGGAATGGATAGAGCGTCTGACCCGCAGAGCGGAAGGTTGGGGTTCGATCCCCGGTCGCGTCATACCAAACACATGTCTATCTCCATGGTCCTTACCGCCACCGTGGTCGAGTGGAATGGATAGATCGTCTGACCAGAGAGCGGAAGGTCGGGGTTCGATCCCCGGTCGCTTCATACCAAACACATGTCTATCTCCATTGTCCTTACCGCCACCGTTGTCTGGTGGAATGGATAGAGCATCTGACCAGAGAGCGCGAACGATATTGTCATTTTCCTATGTGGCTCATACATAATCCCAGCCAACAATTTAATGAACTATTTCGTCTTTCCACCCGCAGACACTAAACTTGGTTGATCAAAGTTTGACGAGACATATAGTCTAATAGGATCGGTTTCTATTCCATCAAAGTCCCGTCCAAAACTTTGTCAAAGTTTTTCACGGCATGTTACACTATCAAAATATTGGTCAAAATGGACTTTGACCAAGTTTTTTTTTATGAAAGCTTTTATAGTGTAACGGGGGCTTTAGAGACGAGGCCCAGCTTATGATGACGCTGGCTGGACGACCTACAGACGACTCGAAACTTATGACGTCAGAACTGGCGATGATGACGTCATACCCTTTGTACTTGAAGTTTTTGGCCTTGGTCTGGGGACAGCTGACAGTTGTGTGTTGCCAAATAAAAGTCGGCCAGAAAACTGGTCAACATTATGGGACGTTTTCTGACCAATGCGTCAGTCAGTGTGTGTGACTAGATTTGGAATTGATGAAATGCCATAATTTAACTCCTAATTGACATATATTAAAACGGTCACGGAATGACTTTCTAAACAGCCCAGATAGAAAAGAGTTGTACGTATTATTTACATTGATAAACTATCTATAAAGTCACGTGATCGCAGCCATACTGGGCCCACTTGCACAAAGCAGTCTTAGCGCTAAGACTATTGTAAGCCTATGCTGAAGTATGGGAGTTACAATCATCTTAGCGCTAAGATCGCTTTGTGCAAGTGGGCCCTGGTCAGAAGCCAGAGGTGAGAGGACAGTGACGGAACTACAAAAACATGATGTGGGCAATTCTTTTTCAGTTCTCCCTCCCGTTTTCGATAGATATGGGCCACAAAGTGCATTGTCATTTGCCTGAACTGTTGTCTTATATTTCAAGCACAAGCAATGAACAGCTAGTGTGTGAATAGAAATTCAGATGCGCCTACAGGTACTGCTCTGCCAGTTCCGAGTCATATTTTTTGTAGTTTGACTTATGTGTTTTCGCGATGGAGACTGGTGTATTCAAATGAAATATTTCATCAAAGCTGGGCGCCACGAAGCTTCAAAAGACAGCGCTAGATCTACCTCGCATTACAAATTCCAAGAAATGTAGTCAACTCTCCATCATTCAATTTCCAAGAAGCATGTGCCATATATGGAAGTGTTACAACGATTTATCAATGAAACAAGCCTGGTTCCCGTTGCCAATGAGAATAAAACCTGAAAAGTCCTTTCAAGAGGATTTGATACTGTTATTTACTTGCCAAAAATATTGTATTTGATTTTCTGTTACCCACCCATGCAGGTAATGTTTTGAGAATGTGAGTGCGTGAGTGAGATAGATCACCACAACTGGTGAATAATGAAGTTTCTGTCACCTATGTCCCTCTCGGGCAAAAGAATATACTCGTGTTTCAGGTAGTATAGTCTATTTCTTGTCTAAATTAAGTTGAACAGGGATGGTTTGTATAGAAGCAAAGTTATTTGAAACTAGCTACAGCTACGACAGCCTGCAGAAACATCAGATATTCAGATATGTTTATGGGCTTGTCAAAGGTTGCGTCCAGCTGTGATAAAACATTTCATTTTTTCTTGGCCTCAAGAGTTCTGACCCAGGTAGTACACCATACATTGTGACCATCGAATACCTATTTTGCTATATCACCACAAGCAGGGTGACTGGTGAGGTCATACCCTTTGTACTTGAAGTCTTTGGCCTTGGTCCGGGGACAGCTGACAGTGACACTTTTGTGTTGTCAAATTACAGTTAAAGTCGGACAGAAAACTGGTCAACT